CTCTACATGGTGCCGGTGACAACGAAATTAAGAGGTTAAAGCATCACGTGATCCCCCTCACAAGCACGTGGTGTTAGTAAAAGAGAAGAAAGCACGCCATTTGTACAAAGACTTGGTTAGCTGACATTGTTTCGTGTCTAGGCAAGACTTAAAGTAAGACCCGCTCCCCCTAACGTCTCTAATTCTTTATTTTTTAGAAATGCGTTACGTGGCAGCATACCTTTTGGCATCACTGGGTAGTAGTAAGGACAGCCCGACCAAGGAGGACATTACTAAAATCCTAGAATCTGTAGGACTGGAAATTGAAGACGATCAATTAGACAAAGTAAGGAAATAGCTTCTACTACTACTGCTATGTTTAATCTTTAATTTTATTTTTTTAAGGTAATCTCTGAGTTGAAAGGCAAAGACATCAATGACGTCATAGCAGAGGGAATGGGTAAACTTGCCTCTATCCCGTCAGGTGCGTTCCCGATTTATTGTGGGTGTGGCTATCACCTTTTAAATTAGGGGGTGTGGCAGCTGCTAGCGGTGGTGGTGGAGCGGCTGCTGGAGGAGGTGATGGTGGAGAGAAAGAAGAGAAGAAGGAGGAGAAGAAAGAAGAGAGTGAGGAGGAAAGTGATGACGATATGGGCTTTGGACTCTTTGATTAGAATTTCAATCTCCTCTTATCTTTATAATGAGATTTTTTGTTATTTAAATAAATGAAGATTCATTTTCCTAATTATCAATAATTGAGGCTTTCAGCGAAAATTATTTCTTATGCTATTAATTGCCAATAGAAAAAAAAGCAAAAATTTTTCCTTGCAAATAGAGATTTGTGAAACATTTGTTTCTTTATGGTAAACTTGTTCCCATAATGAAGAGATCATATATTGGGTAATTCTGATACAAAATTTTCAGACAGAAAAAATATGTATTTTTATTTCTGCACAGTGGTTCCTGATCCTGTCCAAAAATTAATAACATGAAATTTTAAAGATCTAAGCCATGGATCCAAAAATTAATTACACTTCAGTTGCAACCAACAAATAAGAACACATATACAGTACATCCCAACAGTAGATGGATGGGGATAAAATTAATGTTTGAAGCAATAAGCTATTTTATTTAACACGTGCACTACTTTCAAAAGTCAGTTTGATTCGTTATTATTAATAAGAATAGGTTTAATAATAGTAGGAGAAAAGTCATGCATGTCATTACTCTATTCAAGTAGTACAGTACAAGTACAATCGTTAAGTTTAATTTATCTAATGGTAAAATATCTCTTCTCTCCATCTTTCAACTAAGACCACACAAGCAGAACATGACGGGTAAAAACACGGCTATCGCTATTGTGATTGGCCAGAACCAGCTCTCGTCAGAGGAGTAAGGATCAATGGCCCGAGGGCCAGAAGGTCTCTTGAATTTCTGTCCCTTTGAAGAGGTGTCGCCCCACTCTCCATCGGTCTCCGGCTGTGCCTGCTGTTGACTGTTCTTATTGACTTGCTCCAGAGGAGGAAGAGGTGGGAACTCTACAAGTTTAAAGAATAGTAATTTATTATTGAGCAACTGTATACGCCATATATTTCGCGGGGATTAAATTTCGCGATTTTCGCGTTTTGAAAAAATTCACAAAATTAAAATCTGCAAAATAGCGTGCTGATTGTATAGTAGGTGTGGTAATTACATTAAAGTTACAAAAAATTTTATTCACAAATACAAAAAACGCAGCCAAATAGCGAAATTTTATACCCGCAAAATATATGGCGTATATATTTTATTCTCATTCTAAAAAGAATCAAATATTACATGCAGGCAATTAGGCATTGGTGATCTTCTATGATCTTAATTGTTTTTGGGGATGCTCAAAATAAAGCAAAACAATATTTTTATTTTGACAATTCTATTATTAATCTTGTGTGCCTATGTGTGTATTTTTATTTTTACCTCCTGGATTTCCCTTGGCAACAACAATTGCGTTTATCTTTGGATTATCCCTTAATCCCTAATATAAGAAATCATAATTAATTAATTGGCAAGAAATTCACATAATCTTAGATGTATCTAGAGTGTACAAAAATAATGGATATGCTTCAACAGAAATTAAAAGTTTCTTCTTTCTCCCTTTCAATTTCATTATCTTATAATTTCAAATTACTATGAAGCAACTTCTAATTGCAGGTACTAAATGTTGCGATTTTAGCATGTGGTAGATTTTTCTGGTATTAAAAACTGAGATTAGGTAATTCAATACTAATTATGGCAGAATTAATAATTAAATGTATTAATGCCGTATAGCAGGAAATTTTGGAGGGGCTAAAATTTGGCAAATTGCTAAATTTTGGCGATTGGCGGATTTTAATTTGGCAAATTTGTGGCCACGTGCCATTGAGCATGCGCATAATGGCTCAAAATGGTGAATTTTTATTTTGGCAAATGGCTATCAAATCGCCAAATTTAATCCCATCCAAAATTTCCCACTATACGGTAATTGCAATTTTTATCTTGAACACAAAATACAAAATTAGTAGTACTTGTAACTAAAAGCAACCTTAAGGTACATGCTACACACTGCTTAATATTGATATGTAATTAAATTAATAATTACATTACCTTTGAGAACTCAACCACTAGTGTACCATCAAAATCACTCGTCTCTTCATTCACTGTTATCTGTCCATCATGTACAGTGAAAGGAATGATCATATCAAAGGCGACTGCTCTGCCAACTCGAGCAAAAATATCTAAATTACTAGCTACAGTAAAGTGATTGTTCAAGACGACATCAAAAACCTACAGATTGAGAGAAAGAGAAATGAGATAAGAAAGATAGAGAGAGGGACATTGTTGATATTAAGATTTTTTAATAAAAGGAGATAAGTAGATAAAGATAGGAAGAATGAAGGAATGGAAAAAAGGAGAGAGACAAAAAGAGAATGTTAAACATAATGATCAGGACAAGTTTCTTTTTCATTTATAATTCATCATACATGCATATGTACATGTACATGTACACAATAGGGTAGATCAATTGTATTTAAAAACCATATCCACCTGGCAAAGTCATAGCATAATGGTAATACATGCATTACAATTACTATTTTTAGAAACTATACTTTTTCGTTTGGCCTTTGGAAATAAACTTCCGCAAATTTGAGTACTACGAAATGTTCGCCTTCGGTTTTTATTGATACGTCGTACGAGAAGTCTCGGTAATGATATCTCTCTGTCTGATAGAGAATCTGGTCTTCTGGAGGCACACGTGCTATCGTGAGACCCTTTCCGAAATCAGAAGCAACTCCAGCATCACTCTCATCTCTTCTGTATCTGATCCCATTGGTGTCTGTATGTCTCCCTCCGCCACAATTGACAGCATATATCACCTCGTAGGAACTGACGAGAGTGTAAAGGAGAGAGAAGGTGGTGAGGAGTAGGAGTAGCGGGCTTTTAACTGAAGCCATTTTATCAGTAAAGAGAAGGTATTAACAAGAAAGGAGATAGGTACCAAGAGATAATAAATACCTCGTGTAGTGCGCATGCGCACTAGCTTAGTGACCACGTGCGTTCCGGTGTCTTTCAAAATGGCTGCCGTCAAGTCCCTTAATCCTAAAGCAGAGGTAGCCAGGGCTGCCCAAGCGCTCCAGTTGAACATCAATGGAGCCAGGGGGCTACAGGAAGTCCTGAGGACTAACCTCGGCCCGAGAGGAACCATGAAAATGTAATGAATTGCATTTTTACACCTCCAATGGTAGTCTGGCTATTTTTTGTAGGTTAGTATCCGGAGCTGGTGACATAAAACTCACCAAAGACGGGAATGTGCTGCTTCACGAAATGGTGAGTACCTCTCCTTACTCTCGTTATAATTATTTTTCCATTTCAGCAAATACAGCATCCTACAGCATCTCTGCTTGCTAGGGTAGCTACGGCTCAGGTAAGCCACACCTACTTGTGTTACCATTTTTTGACGTTATTTAGGATGACATCACTGGAGACGGAACGACTTCAAACGTCCTCATAATTGGAGAGCTATTGAAACAAGCAGACATATACATATCAGAAGTAATTAATTATTAGTGGGTGGGGCTTCAGTTTTTTATATGAGTAAATTTAATGCGTAATAATAGATGCCAGAAGAAAATCTACATGCACTTAATTGATGAATTTTAATTGATTCTTTTTAATTATGAATAATTATAGGGGCTGCACCCTCGTATTGTGACTGAAGGATTTGAAAAGGCAAAAATGAAAGCACTTGAAGTAAGTGACTCATACCTGTACAGTACATGTATTTCATTGCTTCCTAATTCATTGCATGGATAGAATAGAAAAAATATAATGTTTCTACCTTGATTTAAAATTTTAAAGATCTATTTATTGTTCTATTAATAGATTTTAGAGTCTGTCAAGGTTTCCAAGGAGATGGAGAGGGATACGTTGGTTCAGGTGGCACGCACCTCTCTTAGGACTAAACTCAGTCCAGAGACTGCTGATATACTCACTGAGGTAATGGAACATCTCGGTGTTCACTATTCTCATTCATCCTATTCTCTTGTCAATGTCTCTTGAACTTTCTAATGTGTTCCTCTCCCCCCTCTCTCTCTCCCTCCCTCTCTCTCTCCCCCCTCTCTCTCTCCCCCCTCTCTCTCCCCCCTCTCTCTCTCCCTTCCCCTCTCTCTCTCTCTCAGGTTGTTGTAGACGCAGTGTTGTCCATACGTAAGGAAGGCCAACCCATTGATCTTCACATGGTGGAAATTATGCAAATGATGCACAAATCTGACACAGACACAAAGTAATGAAGATACATTTGATACATAGTATCAACAAGTACATGTACCTATGTATGTGTTTATATGTAATGTACATGTGTATTGTTGTTGTTGTTGTTGTTTATTGTTTGTTTGTTTTTGTTAGACTAGTGAGAGGTTTGGTATTGGACCATGGCGCTAGACATCCTGACATGAAGAAGAGGGCAACTGATGCATACATACTGACATGCAATGTATCCATGGAGTATGAGAAGAGGTTAGTAAAACTTAGTGCATCTCAGTAAATCCCAGTATACTAATAGACCTTGTGTGAGTTATTTTAGTATATATCATTATAACTTGGTATATTTTAGTATATTTTTGTACAACTCAGTATATTTTGGTATATTTTAGTATACTTTATGTTTTTATTCTACAGTGAAGTCAATAGTGGTTTCTTCTATAAGACAGCTGGCGAAAGAGAGAAATTGGTTGCCGCGGAGAGGAAGTTCACGGATGATAAAGTGATGGAAGTCATCAAACTAAAGAAGAAGGTTAGGGACCCATTCCTGTTCTGCAGTATGGGATTATGGGAATCTGTCTTTTGTATTACCAATAGGTCTGTAATGGTGGTAATCATGGCTTTGTTGTCATCAATCAAAAGGTATAATCTCTCTCTTAATTACATGTACATGTACCGTATAACGCAAAATTTTTGAGGGCTCTAAATTAATCTAATTTGCAGATTTAATATTTGTGACTTTATGCTGTCTGCCATCTTGTACCATAATAATCTGATTTCGTGGGAGTAATTTTTTGTAAATCTTTAAAATATTGCAAAATCAGCGAAATTTACAGCCCCAAAAAATTTTGCTTTATATGGTATATTGTTGACATTTATTCATTACATGTATTGACACTAATTGTCACCTAATTGTGTTGACTATTACCATATACCAGTTTATTTTTGTGGGGAAATATTTTTGTAAATTTCGCAGTTTGGAAGCTATTTGGTAAAATTAGTTCCTTGAAATCTTAGAAAGGCAGGATTTGTGAATATTTTTACCACGAAAATAAATCTATATGTGACAATATCAATAATGTGGCAAGTATAACTTTTATTGAATTACTTATTTTTACACTCACAAACACTCATATATACCTCCACACACACACACACACACACACACACTTGCATACATTCATTCATACACAATAGGGTATCGACCCCATATCTCTTGATCAGTTAGCAAAGGAAGGCATCATTGCTCTCCGACGTGCCAAGAGGCGTAACATGGAGAGATTAGTGCTAGCTTGTGGCGGTGAGGCTATGAACTCGTTTGAAAATCTCTCGCCGAATTGTCTTGGGAAGGCAGGACTTGTTTATGAGCATGTACTCGTGAGTAAACTGATGATTACTAATTTATTATTATTGTATTATTAATAAAAGTATAATACTATTAGCCTATTTTGTACATGTAATAATTGTAAACCAATTAATAATTACTATCTATTAATTTGAACCTTTAAACTTTTGGCTAATTTCATTAAAGTTAATGGTCGTGAATATGATTGTTAATGTGGAATATTGGCTGCCTTAGTTAAACATGAAAGTTGTTAAATTATTTAAGTTTACAACAGGGTAGATACATGTATTTGTAATCCCAATTTCTAATTGTCATATTAAGTAGTATATGATGTGATATGCTATTCCATTGTTAACATAATAGCTTACAGGCCTTCATCTAGGATTTTATACAAGGGGGGGGCAAGGTTAAAAATATTTAAAAAAAGGGGGGGGTCACTAATATTTTCTATTGTGCATGCACAATACGTGCTCACAACACTTATACAGTGGAACCTCTGTATAACGGTCACCATTGGGAACTGGTCCTTTGGCTGTTATAGAGGGGTGGTCTTTATTGAGGGGTTTCAGTTTAAAGTGTCTAACTTAAAAGATATTTAACTGTGTTGCCTTCTTAAGTATCTTGATTCACTCCTCAGGTCAATAACAAGTACAAAGATCTTGCAGGTAGTATGTAAGAGGTAGCAGGAAAAATAAGCGAATTACAGCAAGAAGAAAGGGCATGCTCAAGGTTTCAGCCATTTTATTTAGATGGGTGGGGCTACAGGTGACGTTTTATGATGAAAACATCCGGTCTTGGTGATGGGTGTGGCCACATGGCCGTTAAAGAGAAGTTTTTCTCAATGCTTTATGCTGTGTTGGGGACGTTTTGAGTGCTCGTTATACGCAATAGAGAGGTGGTCGTTCTTCAGGGGTTGCCTTAACAGGCAAGTAAGTGTATTTTGCATCCGGACCTGGACATTTGGCCGTTATATGATAGACGGCCGTTACTTAGAGGTGGTCGTTAAGCGAAGTTCCACTGTACAATTTACTGCTGTTGTGATGAAATTTCTCATGTTAATAAGTCAATTAAGGGGGGGCGAGTGCCCCCCCGTAAATGAAGCCCTGGCTTAGGGTGTCTATTGGTGTGTGTGTGGGGGGAGGGGGCTCTTTTGTCATTGAGAATGGAACAAAATGGCAGATTTTACATTATATATTGTCAGTGGCTCAATCACTACATTGCCAATCCACCAATATTAGTTAGTGGCTACTGCATGTATATTAAGTTGTATCGTGAATATAATTTATAATTTGTCTTTTTGGATGTACTCTAACTCATTTTTATCTTTTTGTTATTATAAGTGCATTATTTCCTAATGTTTCTTAGGGTGAAGACAAGTATACCTTTATTGAAGATGTTGACAATCCACAATCTGTTACTATTCTAATTAAAGGCCCAAACAAGCACACCTTATCACAGATAAAGGATGCAGTCCATGACGGACTCAGGGCAGTCAAGAATGCCATTGAGGATGGTAAGGGAAGAGAGGGTGAAGTTCAGTGATCCCACCTTATGCTATTTCATTGAGTCAATATTTCAGTCACAATTGATTTTGTTGAATTATTAGTTATTAGTATTTTTACCATACGAAAAGGCCAACTACCTTTTCTGATACATGTACATATTGATGTCCTTATGCTATGTAGAAATTTCTACTTTAATTTTCAGAGTTATAGACTTTTTAAAAACTAGTAAAATTTTGGAAAATACCATTTGCTATGGCTATAGCCCATGGTATTTTCCAAAAAATTGTTCCGAAATCACCACTAATTTTTATTACATTTTTGATATATTATATTGACGTCCTTATACTATGTAGAAAGTTTAAGCTGATTCCAACTTAAATTTTTGAGTTGAGCATTAATTTTTTGCTCTCTATGAAAATCATTTCAATCAAAGCAGGCAGTCCACACAAGTTATAAACCACTACTCATGTAGCTATAGTTAATTACTATATACTAGCAGAGTAAATAAGAAAACTACAATATGCACATGTAATAGTCACTAAATGAATTTAAATTTAAAAATATTTTAAAACCATTTTACCAGGGTCTGTTGTTCCCGGGGGTGGAGCTTTTGAAGTTGCTGTGTACACTGCACTGAACTCACCTGACTTCCTCTCTACTGTGTCTG